AAGACAAAAGATAACAGTTCATAAGGATGCAGATAAAAGAAAATCTTCCTGTAGCCAGAGCCTGGATCCTAGGCTGGCTTTGCACTACAGTGTCTGTACCACTGGAGCAGTTAGCTAGCTCTGTCACTGTAGTTTTCCTGTATGTAAAATGGAAACGATAGCAGCAAACCTATTTGCCTCACTGAGATACTTTAAATACCAAAAAAGGCAAAATGTGAAAAGTGTGTCTGTGTGCACACGAGCATGTGCCCGCACACACACACACGCACACACACACGCACACACGCACACACACACGCACACACACACGCACACACACGCGCGCGCACACGCACACACGCACACACACACATGCACACACACACGCACACATACGCGCGCGCACGCACACACGCGCGCACACACACGCACACACGCGCGCACATACACGCACACACACGCACACACACGCACACGCACACACACATGCACACACACACACGCGCGCACACACACACATGCACACACACACACGTGCACCCACGCACACACGCACGCACACATGCACACACACACGCACACACACGCGCGCGCACGCACACACATGCACACACGCGCACACACACGTGCGCGCACACATGCACGCACACACACACACGCACGCACACACGCGCACACACACACAAGTGCGCACGCACATGCACACACACGCACACACGCACACACGCACACACACATGCACACACACGCACACGCACACACATGCACACACATGCACACACATACACACACGCACACACACACACACGCACACACACACTCGAGTGTCCTTCCACTCTAGCCTAGGCTCAGCAATTCACTGTGACAGATTAGACTGCACAGAGCTCAGACTTGACCTCATCATGGCTAAAACCTTCCTTGGATTCAATAAAGCTCCAAAGTCAGTATGTCTCAATCCTAGAAATGTGTGACTTTCTATCTTCTATTGGTATGAGAGCTTTGTCTTCAACACACATTTCTTTTTTTTTTAATTGTGAAAATACTGTACAGAGGGGTTACAATTACATGGGCAAGGTAATGAGTACATTTCTTATCAAGCATTGTTGCCTCCTTCTTTGTTTCTCCTTCCCATCCCATTTCCCACTTCCCCCTACCCCCTCCTTCAACACACATTTCTAAGTGCAATCTGTGCATACGTGTGTGACTTCTTCCAATCAGGGGATCAGTTAGTCTCCAAATATTTTGTATAAAGCAGAGAATACTATCAAAGAATACTAGAACTGAATATGGAGAGTCACCAGCCTGTGCTATGTAGTAACATCGACTTTATCTCAAGGAGGAGGAGGAGGTGGGCAAAATGTGGGCACCAGTGCCTACTTTGCTGTTTCAAAACTTAAACAGAATACTAACATTTTACCCTTCAAGTGAGATGTGAGACCAGACACAAGTGCAAAGCTTGGAGCCTGAATGCCAGGCAGTGACACTTTGGCTAACTCTTCAGGTTTCTTGTCAGAATCAGGGCAGACGGGGATGGTTTTGAAGGAAAGTGCAGGTTAAGAAACAGCAAGGGGGGCTGGGAAGGTGGCTCAGTGGTAGAGCGCTTGCCTTGCATGCCTGAGGCCCTGGGTTCGATTCCTCAGCACCACATAAGCAGAAAAGAAAAAAGCCAGAAGTGGCACTGTGGCTCAAGTGGTAGAGTGCTCGCCTTGAGCTGAAGAGCTGAGGGACAGCGCCCAGGCCCAGAGTTCAGGCCCCACGACCGGACCCAAAAAAAATAAAAAATAAAGATGCCTGGCTAGAAGTAGGTCCAGAGACAGGACAGTAGGAGGAGAGCGGATAAAGGGCAGGTCACGTCCCAGCTCCAGCGCCCGAGAAGCAGGCCCTGGGTCAGATAGGGTTTCTGCACTAAGTCAAGAATGAAACCTAGGCTTGTGTGTCCTAGCTGTGGCATCTCGGGAGCCGGTTAGTCTCCATCTATAGCGTAGGAATCGCCCTCAGCCGCACCGAGCTTTAAATCTCCTCCAAGTGCCCTATTTCAGTGGATGTGCACGTCTATTCTCGTGGTCTAACTTTCATCTTCTTCTGTATCCCGGAAGTGGAAGGGCCAACCACAGCCACTAGAATGGGAGCTCAGTGGGGTTCAAGGACACACGGGGTCCTCAAGGTCAGTGAGCTCCGAAGGATGCCGGCACACACCGTGTGTGGATGGCTGTGGGCGCGGCCGGCGCCAGGAACGGGGTAGGTGAAGCCTCCAGTGAGGTCCCTGCGACTCACCTGCAGCCCTCCGCACCCAGCAGCGCCATGGCTGTCATACGGATGTAAATTCACGTCAAATAGTTAAGCCCTGGAGAGGGCTTCGGGACTGGAATCGGTGAGCTTACAGGGTTATTGACGGAGCGGGAGGGAAACGTGGGGTGTGGGCAGGCAAGCGTGGGGCTCTCCTACCCCCCCCCCCCCCCCCGTCCCCAGAGACTCTGCCCGGGCCAGGGCAGTGACCCAAGGAAGCCGTCCCTGGGGAATAAATTAACCGCCCTCCCTGGGGACCACACCACCGCCTCCTCCTGCAAAAGATGAACAGTTCTGCTTTAATTATTTGTCTCCAAACTGCTTTTATCCTATCTTTCTTTTGGGCACAATCTTTTTTTTTTAAACCCACCTACTATACAGATCAAAGGTCTAAGTGCAGAATTTTTTTTAAAAAGAAAAGAAAAGAAAAAGTCCAGCCATCCAGCTAGTTTAAAAACACATCAATATGATTTTTCTTTCTTTTCTTTCCAGTAGTGGGGCCTGAACTTGGGCTTGGGTGCTGTCCCTCAGCTCTTCAGCTCAAGGCTAGTGCTCTACCACTTGAGCCACAGCGCCACTTCCAGCTTTTTCTGCTTATGTGGTATTGAGGAATCGAACCCAGGGCCTCATGCATGCAAGGCAAGCACTCTACCACTGAGCCACCTTCCCAGCCCCTGATTTTTCTTTTTTTCAGTGCTGGGGAATTGAACCCAGGTGGCATGCGTGTTAAGCAGGTGCTTTACTACTGAACTACCTCCCCAACTCATACTAAATTTTTTTTGGGGGGGGAGGGGTCCAGTCGTGGGGCCTGAACTCTGGGCTTGGGCGCTGTCCCTCAGCTCTTCAGCTCAAGGCTAGCGCTCTACCACTTGAGCCACAGCGCCACTTCCGGCTTTTTTCTTTTTTGCTTATGTGGTGCTGAGGAATTGAACCCAGGGCCTCAGGCATGCAAGGCAAGCGCTCTACCACTGAGCCACCTTCCCAGCCCCTCTTACTAATTTTCTTCACACCATTATTCTTGTTAAAGATTTTAAAGGTCATCTAAATAGTTGATGGCGTTTTTTTGCATAAAACTGAGTGGATTATATGCTGTATAAAATACTCATGCCTAAGATGAGTGCTTGTTATTTAGAGATTTTTGAGGAAAATGTATGCAATTTGAATTTTTTTTTTTTTTGTCAGTCATGGGGCTTGAACTCTGGGCCTGGGCGCTGTCCCTCAGCTCTTCAGCTCAAGGCTAGCGCTCTATCACTTGAGCCACAGCGCCACTTCCATCTTTTTCTGCTTATGTGGTGCTGAGGAATCAAACCCAGGGCCTCATGCATGCAAGGCAACGTTCTACCACTGAGCCCCCTTCCCCCAATGTGGGTATTTTAACACATTCTTGCCACCGATAACTACCAAGCTGCACATCAGCTTCAACTGCTTTCTGACGTGTTGGCTTAATAAATACCTTAATTCTGATTGAGGGTGAACATATCTTTTTGCCTGTGGGGCAAATTCCTCATCATTTGTCGGAAGTAAGCAAACTGTTTTTTGCTTATGGTTAGCTAGTGTTTTAGTAATTTCTTTAGGGGAGAGAAAGAAGAGAGACAGAGACAGAGGCAAAAGAGAGAAAGAGGTAAAGGAAAGGCAGACCGGGGATGGGGGAGGAAAGGGGAAGAAAGAGAGGAGATAAGTTAATTTTTTAATTTGCTTTTGCACATTATACTCACAACCTGACTTGGAATTGTACAACTCCTTAAAGATAACAACAAAATGCTATTTTAAAAATACCTTGTCTTTGCAGACTGGCTCTGTTCTGGGGCCTTCGATGCCTCCTTAGCCACATTTCCTTCTTGCTTTGATCCTTGAGATCAACCCCAGCCTGGGGTGGAGGTTTAGAGGGTTCTTGTGTTGTTAGGAAAGCATTTTTTTTTTTAAATCTCTTCTCAGCTTTTATGCCTGGGCTTTTAACACCCTGTGCTTTTGTTATTTTTAAGAGATTGTGCGAGGGAGTTACAATGCCATGTGTCATTTATGAGCACAATGCATTTTGATCACTGTCACCCCTTCCGGCACTCTCTCCTGTCTGCCCCAACCCCACCCATCCCCTCCATTCCCAGATCTCAGCCTCCCAGTAGCGAGGATGGCAGGCGTGAACCACGGGCACCTGGCCTAAGTCCTATCTTTGGATTTCCAGATATCAAATGCACTCCCTGAGACCACACCCGCTTTCCTTCATGCTGAGTCTTCCTCCGAAGAATTCTGCTTTAACAGAACACTGCCCTTTAATAAGTCCTTTAACATTACACAGTGTAAAAACGTCTTCCACGTTTATTAGAAACGTTTTTGAAGGGGCCTCCTCACACTGTCTCGTATTTCTTACACAGGTTTCCGTAAGAGAAATGTTCTTTAGAAAGTCGATGCGTGTGTGCTTGTCTTTTCCTCGTATGACTATGCCACACACCAAAGTTAGGCTTTACTCCTTTGGGGCCGGGATTCAGGAAACTAAGTGCCAAGAATCAGTGTTCAATCGCAGCAGTGAAATGAAACATTACATTTTGAATACATGCTACCCTCCACGCTTCCGCACGCATTGCATCGTAGCACACGGATCTCGCGTGGGCGTCTGTTCAGCAACCTGAGCACACACATCCCTAAATCGAATATAGTATCTGGGCTCCATAAAAAAATCACCCGCCCACCAACGCGCTCACGGCTGTGCTAACAGATCCTCACACAGAGCCCACCCATTACGAAGACACCTGACTCCGCGTAAGTTTCACCAGGGCCTTTTTCACGTCCTTGTTCCTCAGGCTGTAGATGAGGGGGTTGAGCATGGGGATCACCGTGGTGTAGAAGACGGAGGCCACCTTCTCCTGGAGGGCGGAGGTGCTGGACGCAGGCTTGAGGTACATAGACATGAGAGACCCGTAGAAGACCAGCACGCGGTCAGGTGGGAGCTGCAGGTGCTGAAGGCTTTGGCCCTGCCCTCTTGGGAATGGATGCGCAGGATGCTGGCGAGGATCAAGGCGTAGGATGTGCCGATGGTCAGGCTGGTGGCTCCCATGTTAAACCCACCGATGACAAAGATCAGAAGTTCGTCCACGGCCGTGCTGGAGCAGGAGAGCTTTATCAGGGGGACGATGTCACAGAAATAATGCCTAATGGTGTTTGAGCTGCAGAAAGACAACCTGAGGATACAGCCTCCGTGAATCGCCGCGTCGACGAGGCCCACGGAGAAGGCGGCAGCCACCAGCAGAAAGCAGAGGCGGGGGGACATGATGGCGCCGTAGCGCAGGGGGTGGCAGATGGCCGCGTAGCGATCGTAGGCCTTGGCCGCCAGCATGTAGCACTCAGAGATGACAGAGGCAGAAGAAGAAGAGCTGAGCCATGCATCCCGAATACGAGATCATCCTGCCCCTGCCTAGAAACCCCGCCAGCATCCCGGGGGTGACGGCGGAGGAGTAGCAGAGGTCGATGAAGGACAGGGCGCCGAGGAAGCAGTACATGGGGGTGTGGAGCTGAGCGCTGCACTTGATAATGGCCACCATGCCCAGGTTTCCCACCACGGTGACGGCGTAAACCCCGAAGAACAGGCAGAAGAGGGGCCGCTGGAGCTCGGGCTGCTCCGTGAGTCCCAAAAGAAGAAACTCAGTCACCACGGAGTGATTGTGTACACCCATGCTCCCCCAGGAAATCTATGGAGCAGAAAGGAAGAGTCGGGTTAGACGGGTGGACTTCCAGCTTGCCCCCCGGTCCCCAGGACCAGGCATTTCAGCCAGAAAAATACTGAGTGTTACTGGAGACTTGAACTCAGGACCCAGGGCTGGCTAGGCAAGCCAGTGCCACCAGTAGTCTATCACGGTGTGTCACCAGTAGTCTATCCCACCCCGAGCCCTTGTTGCTTTCTTTTTTAGGTAGGTTCTCACTTCGCCCAGAGAAGGCTTTGAATGGAGATCCTCCAACGCCGAGTCCGGGGCAGCCGGGTGGCAGATGCCCATCGGACCTCGCTGCTCCAAGCCACGGCCCCAGCCACGTGGCAAAGCACACAATGCCGGCTCCGGCATTTCAACCAGAGCCCTGCACGCTCGTTGGAGGGGTCGTTTTCGGTTATTCTCCACTCAATGTGAAATCGTCTTCCTTCTTGCTTGTTTCCTCCCCTGACCCTCTTTCTCGGGACCAGAAAGCATTCCAGGTTCACACAAAGCCTGACTTGGAAAATGCTATCAGCAAAAGCCTTCCTGGATCAAGGGTAGGAGTTGCACAAGTTTTATATTCCAGCATTTTGTTAACTATCTGTGAATTCAGAGATTCCACAGGTGTTGCATATGTCAAATAGCTTGTAACAACACATTGTGTTGTGTTTTTATAGAATTGTTATAAAAAGCTTGTCTTAAGACATAAAAATATCCTAGCTACTCAGAAGGCTGAGAACTGAGAATCTCCATATGAAGCCAGCCAAGGCAGACAAGTCTGAGAGACTCTTATCTCCTATTAAACAACAAAAAGCTGGAAGTAGAAATGTGGCTCAAATGGTAGCACACCAGCCTTGAGTAAAAAAGCTGAACAAAAGCTGAGATCCTAAATTCAAGCCCCAGTGCATACGTACATACACGCCCATGAGCACCCACACACATATACATGCACACACGTGTGCATATATGCACACACACGCATAGAGCAGTAATAAGCTGTGTCTATTTAACCAGATACTAAAGGATATGCAACTAGACTAAGGCCAAAACTTTTGTTAGTCAAACTTTTCTACTACATTAATTCAGCCTTGATTCAGAGCCAATGTATTTTTAGCCATTTTAAAGCAGGTTATTTTTAAACACTGCGACAGACTTTTAAAATTACATACACACACACACACACACACAGAAATATCATCATGTACTCCCTTTGGGACAATACATGTTAACAAAAGTAAACAACATAAAATGTTCTATGAGCCTAATTTAAAAAATTAAAAACAGGTGGAATTAATTTTAATAATATTGTTTTATTTAATTTATATTCAAAATACCACTTCAACTTGTACACAATAGAAGAATTATAATGAGGTATTTTGCAATGTTTTGCAGAAGAGGCAGGTCCTGACATGCATGCTGTATTTTCTATTGACAACACAGCTCCAGCTGAACTAGCCACACTCTGAAGACTCACTCGGGCCCAACAGCTAGTGCTATACGCTCAGACAGCAAAAGTTTAGAATGTGAATATATATATACATGAAATCTCAGTTGTCCCAGGAGTGCATGGGTGGCAGGAAAGCACTGAACTACAGGTAAGTCATGAGATTCTGTCCAGCCCCAGTAAAGTCTTACAGTGTAACAGTCAACTCATGATAGACTCTGCGAGCTTTGTGTTTCAGTCTGTAAAACAAAAGTAAATACTAGTGAGTAATAAACAGTTAAGGCATTGCTGTGCAAAGTAAATGAGAATAAGTGTGAACAGCCCGTAATGGAACACACACCTGTCCAGGGGAGGCGCGGTGGCCAGTTCCTTCCGTTCTGGTGACTCAGCGGGGTGCAAATGTGCAGGATTCCTGTGGGCACCGAGGAGTGAATTCTAGAATCTATTTTAATATTCCTACAAGATAAGCATCATAACTCTGAAACCCACCTTCTTCTCCTAACACGTCTAAATATGCCTTGCTTGAAAAGTTTCTGTAGAGCTGCAGGTAACAAGGACCTGGGTCTTTCATTCCTAGAAATAAGAAGACAACCAGTAGTCCCTGAGGGTCTTCGTCTCTTGAGGTCTGACGTAAGACTGCACTGTAGGCACTGTCCCCAGGCTGGCCGGCCACCTGGGACTGTTACCATCACTTAGGCACACTGCAAGAAGCTCCGAGTGAGGCCCTTCAGAACGTCCCTCACACGGGAGCCGATGTGTCCTGGAATCTGTGGCGTGCCAGAGGCAGTGCACAATGCTGCACCATCTGAGCTCAGCGCCGGGGCTGGTTGCTATAAAGACTCCCTCTATGGAATGGCCGATTTAAAACTGAGACTTTAATAGTGGAGAGAAGTCACTTGAGGAGATCTGAAAGGGACAGTCAAGTGTAGCTAAGGTTACAAGCAGAGGAACTGAGAAATAGAAAATAAAGATTTGCATGAAGAACTTTGGGAATGGCTCCTTGAGAAGAATAGACTCAATGTTTCTAGTGCCTGGTAACCATGGAAACCAATAGTAGCAAGAATCCCTGAGCCCCACCCCAGACCTGGGGCGGGCTCTCCAGGACATCTTGTAGACCCCCCCATCTTTAGATGAACCATTCCTGGTACCCTGGAAGTAAACATACGTACTTTTGTTTAAAAAAAAAATCCCCCAATTTTCAGAAGCAAACAGCTGAATTTCAATCTATCCATGGGGAAAATTGTGAGATTATTTCATAGTACCTCATCCTCAGCTACAAAGTACCTACTGGGTTAAAACCAAAATTTCTGGGGTTAGAGCAAAGGCGAATGAAACCTGGCTCTTACTTATATTGTGTGGGTATTAAACATGCTCTCCAACCAATCCGTTCTTTGGGAAAGTGCCTGTGGGACTGCCATCTTTGTGCCGACCTCCTCCCAGCACCGCCACGGACGCCGTGGTCTTCGCTGGCGTTTGGAAGCTTGTTGAAATAAGGGACCGTTTCCCCTGTGCTCCGAGGGCCTGGCAGGCCCCATGGCCGACCTCGGGGGGAATGCATGCTTTCTGCCGCACACACAGCCCCGTTGTGTTCTGTTTCGGTCAGGACATTGTGTTCTTGTCCATCTGAGAAAGAACCACCTGAAGACGCAGCAAGGCAATCCCCAGGTGAGACAGCTGGTTCACGGAAAGAAATCACCTGCACATGATGGGGACGTGGTACAAAAAGAGGAGTGAAGTTATGAATGTTTGCAAGACTCTGTCTCAACCAGTGGACGGGGAGCGTGCACAGGAAGGCTCAGGTGGAGGATCATAGCCCAGGTTGGCCTGGGCACAAAAGAATACCCTATCTCAAAAAATAGTCAATGAACCAGGAGCCAATGCTCACGCCTGTAATCCTAGCTTCTCAGGAGGCTGCGATCTGAAAATCAAGGTTCAACGCCAGGCCAGGCAGAAAAGTCTGTGAGACTCTTTTTTTTTTTTGGGTCCGGTCGTGGGGCCTGAACTCTGGGCCTGGGCGCTGTCCCTCAGCTCTTCAGCTCAAGGCGAGTGCTCTACCACTTGAGCCACAGCACCACTTCCGGCTTTTTTCTTATGTGGTGCTGAGGAATCGAACCCAGGGCCTCGAGCATGCAAGGCAAGTGCTCTACCACTGAGCCACCTTCCCAGCCCCAGTCTGTGAGACTCTCATCTCCAGTGAATCACTCAGAAAAAGCCAGATGTGGCGCTGTGGCTCAAGTGGTAAAGTACTAGCCTTGAGCACAGAGAGGCTCGGGGACAGTCCAGTTCAGCCCCAGGACTGGCAAAAAAGTAAGTAAAAATAATTCGCAAACAGTCTGTAGGTATGGCTGGAGAGGTAGCGTCTCTGCCTAGCGAGTGTGAAGCCTTGAGTTCAGTCCCCAGTATCACCAAATACAAGGGGTAGAACGGCTGTCACCAGAGCTGGAGAAAGTGGGAGGAAAGGACTGGGAAGGCATGCCAGGGGAAGATGGAAGAAGAATTTCCGGGTGCTACTGTAAGGGAGAATGTTCTAGTAACAGTAATGTAACACACATTTTGCAGTTAGAAGAGAAGGCTGTGGAAGATTTGAGCATAAAGGAACGATGTTTGAATCAATTGAATCAATCTGATTTAGACATTATACAAGGTAACGGGGTCTGGTGAGAGTCCGGGGACAAACTGTTCCGCCCCAGGAAATTCCAGTGGTCGGCGGCGGCGCCCTCCCGGCCCAGGCCGGCCTGCTCCGGGGGTCTGGCTCACAGCCGGGCCAGGCCAGCCTGCTCCACGGCCGGCCGTGGTCTGGCTCACAGCGGGGCGGGCACCGGTGTGCGGAACAGCGGCTCCCTTCTCTGCACAGAGCGCGTGGCATTTAGGGAACGTTTTAATGGTCTCAGAAGGGACTAGGTTCCATGATCCACAAGTGAATCTTGCCATCATTAATGCCACAATATTAGTTCCGACTTCTCCAGAAGCCGGCGGGAGGGTAAACCCTTTAGCGACCTACACAGTGCCCGGGGACTCCACACCGCCCAGCCCCACAAAGCCCTCCGGGCTTACGTGACGTGATCCTGTGTCAGCCTGCCCACTATGCAGCTCTCCTGAAGACCTTAATAACCTGATGGCCAAGCCTGGATATAACAAATGGACAAAGAGACAGAGAATGCACGCACAGGCTTTTCATCCTCCGGAGGTGTTAGGCCCACATCTGCTACTTATTATCCGTGTGCAGCATTTGGGTCTGGCATCAAATGTCCCTAAGTTAAGGTTTCCTTGTTGATGTTAGAGATAAAAATTACAGTTCTTGGGCTGGGAAGGTGGCTTAGTGGTGGAGGGCTTGCCTAGCATGCATGAAGCTCTGGGTTCGAATCCTCAGTCCCACATACACAGAAAAAGCAGGAAGTGGCACCGTGGCTCAAGTGGTAGAGTGCCAGCCTTGAGCAGAGGCCTCAGCACCAAAGCAGGGAGAGACTTCACATGTATTTGCTGCTATGAACGGTGTTTACTGGGTGTCACACGCGGAGGGATTGATGGGGACCGGGGACCCCCG